CCAGGGATTGATCCGATAAATTTTCACTCTGTTTTTTTTTTATATTAAGATCAAAAAATTAGAATTGCAAATTAGGCAAAACTGCAATTTCTATTCCTATAAGTGATTATAAAATCGAGGAAATTTGGTCATCTAATCCCTACTCGTGATCTGCCTTTATTATGCAGATCTACTCGTTTAGCATGCGGATGAAAAATGCTGGGCCAGAAAGCGCTTTGGTTTGATCTTCCTCTTTCACTTCTGTGTTCTTATATACGGGGACTGCAGACTGCTGCAGAATTATCATTGTCTTTTAATGACCTCCTATTCCCTTGCAGGGAAGATCTGGGCAACTGAATGGAGCCAGCAGAGGGTTTAATGGCCAGATGCCCTTCCTGTCACCAATGCAGAGTTTGCAGCAGATAATTACTCAATTTGCCCAAAGAGAGAGAGAAATAGCTGCCTCTACCTAGGATCAAACTCACAGCCTCCTGATAGTGAAGGGAGAGCTCCACCTCTAGGCCACTGCACCGCTCCAGGGGATGGCTCCAGAATGTTTCCCCGCAAAATGTGTGCCTTCCTGAATACTGCCCAAATAGCCCACGTGCAATGGCATTTATGCATTGTCCATCACTCTTCGAGGGTGGCCCCGGATTTTTCTCTGTATGACAGCTGCAGAACAAATATGGTACGAGATGCTCTGTGGACGCCAAGCAATGACAATTCCATCTTGGCAAAAGGATAGAGATTTATATTAGTCATTTCTCCAAGGATGAGCTCAAGCCACTTGAACTTGTCCTTCCTAGGGAGAGAATGCTGTTATGACTTCTTCCCTTCTCTTCCATGCTCTCTTTGATTATAGTTCCTGCAAAGAAACAAGATTTTTGACAGTGGCCTAGCTATCGTTTTCTCATCTGTCGATGCATGCTTAATGAAGCTGCCAGGTACTGATCCTGCTGGTAGCCATCTGTCTTGTAGTGGGGAATTAACAACATTTCCAACGCTTGCACTTAAAAACGGGAACTCCGTTGCTATTTCAAGCCATTGTTCAAGTCGCAGTTGCCAGGAGCAGTTTTATGTGTGGTGACTATG